TAATAAGGCTAGATACACATTTAAAATAAAAATTACTAACAGTGCTTTCTAGCAACCATTCATTCGAAATGTCATTGACATGATGTACTTTGAGACTGACAGCAAAGAGTCCACATTGACTATTTAACCATCGCTTCATATGTACCAGTTTTCTTTGTGTAAAAATGGGAATAAATAAATCTAACTTGCAGGGTTATAATGAAGACTGAATAAACATGCTAGAAATCAATACACCTTACATGTTCAGAAATGTTCTTAGGTAACCAAAGTCCTGATAGTGGTTCACACTTACTATCTCTGCATAGCAGCATCTAAGTCCTCAGGCATGCAGCCACACCCTCAATCCCAGTGTTTAGAAGGCAAAGGCAGACACATCTCTGAGATCAAGATCAGCCTGGTCTACATAGCAAGTTCTAAGATAGCTGGGGCTACAGGAAGACTCTGTGTTTTAAAAGTGTATTCTCATCAGGTATGAGGGTTAGGGTTAGGGTCTTAAATCCCAGCACTCAGAAGCCAGAGGCAGGTGAATCTCTGTGAGTTCCAGGCCACTCAGTGCTACATAGTGACACCCTGGTTCAAAAATACCCAAAGTATATTCTCATTCTCAACCATTAATGCTGTACAGAAGTATAAATTTTACCTTTACTCCTGAAACAATTACTCCATCTGCTGATTTAACCATGTTTTAAAAAAAATCTCAAGTTTTTCTTTTTTCTTGTTCCCTCCCACACTCAACCGATAGAAAGACAATTTAAGTTAGCATTTTTTGGAGGTTACACCAGTAATCTCTTTTATTCTTAGACATTTAAATGGAAATCTCAAAAAGATCCCAGTTTCTAAACTTAATAAAGTGTTGATAAGTGTCGGGTATATTAGTAGGTTTTTGTTGTTGTTGTTTGTTTTTTTGAGACAGGGTCTCATAGCCCTGGTTGGCCTGGAAGTCCTTATGTAGACCAGATCAGGCTACCCTTGAACTCAAGAGCTCTTCCTGCTTCAGCTTCCCAAGTGCTGGGATTAAAGGCATGTGCCACCAATTCTGGCCCTATTAGTGGTTTTTAAACATTAGAATATTCAAGAGTGCCAGGCATGGTTGCACATGTCTGCAATCCTGGCACTTGGGAGGGGAAGGCAGAAGGATCAGGAAGGAGTTCCGTGTCATCCTCAACTATAAGGCAAGATCCAGGCCAACCTGAGCTACCTGAGTCCATCTACCAAAAAAAAAAAAAAAATCCTCTAAAAATTTCTTTTTAAAGCTGGGCATGGTAGCACATGCCTTTCATCCCAGCACTGGGGAGGCGGAGGTGGGCAGATCTCTATGAGTTCAAAGCCAGCCAGGTCTACATAGCAAGTTCCAGGACTGCTGGGGCTACTAGGAGACCTTGTCTCAAAAAGACCTAATCCCAGCACTCGGGAGGCAGAGGCAGGCAGATCTCTGTGTATTCAAGGCCAGCCTGGTTTATATAGTGAGTTCCAGGCTAAAGGCTACTAGGAGAACCTGTCTCAAAAAAATTTTTTTTTTCTTTTTAATTTTACAAGTAAATAAAAGAGGAGCTTGGTAAAATACTCAGGTATTACTCTGGAAGATCCAGATGGTCTACAAAGGCCTGCAGAAGTCACGTTTTTCCAAGTTTACCTGAACTATTCCAAGTAGTCCTCTCACCTGACTTGGTCAAACACTGCTATATACAAAAGTGACAACTAAAAACTTAATTCAGGACTTCCTTTAACCATGAGAAATGTATGGGATGGGCTGGGTATGGTGGTGCACACCTTTAAATCATAGCCATCAGGAGACAGAGGCAGGTGGCTCTCTGTGAGGTAGAAGTCAGCCTGGTCTAAGCAGCCAGTTGGGACTACAGGGAGACACTATCTCAAAAATAAATTTTTAGGAAAAAAATTTTTAAGGGGTAGAGAGGTGGCTCAGCAGTTAAGAACACTGGTTATTCTTGCAGGAGACCTGGGTTCCAATCCCAGCACCCACATGGCAGCTAACTGTCTGTAACTCCAGTTCCAGGGGATCCGATGGCCTCTTCTGTCCTCCTTGGGAGTTGCATGACATGGGTGCACTTACCTACATACAGGCAATACACTCATACATATAAAATAAAAATAATAAAATTTAAAAATAAATAAAAAATAAAATAACAAATGGTGGTTATGTTCAATAGAAAACAAAATCTCAGTCATGGTGAAAAAATATAAATATTATGGTCTACAAATATTTTTCATATCTTACTGCTTTATGAAATAATGAATATTTATATATTGGAGTGAAATACATCACCATGATTCTTCAATAGCACTGAGAATATATTCTAAAATTCCTAACTCTGAACTTCTAAATGTCATCTCTTGTCCTATGTCAGGGGTCAACAACTTTTTTTTTTTTTTAATATTTATTGTTTTTATTTTTTTATTTCTTTTTTGGAGCTGAGGACTGAACCCACTGAGCTAAATCCCCAACCCTTATTATTTTTGTTTTATGCGTATGCATGTATTGCCTTGTGTGTAGGTAAGTGTACCCGTGTCCTGCAATGCCCTCGGAGGACAGAAGAGGCTGTGGGACCCCCTAGAACTGGAGTTATGGACAGTTATTAGCTGCCATGTGGGTGCTAGGATTCGAACCCGGGTCTTCTGCAAGAACAACCAGTGTTCTTAACCGATGAGCCATCTCTCCAGCCCCCGAGGTCAACAATTTATAATACAAGGGACACAAAAAAATAACTTTGAATAGCATGAATGATTACCCAGGGCAAAACTTACTGAGGAGAATTCAGCCATATTCTATTACTGTTTGTTCTCCATGCCTCATTTTTATCTTTTTGTGGAATGCCAGCCTGGTGAATGTTGGGCTATAAGACCTTACTTACATTCTATGTCTTTTAACTTTAATATTTTCTGTGAAGTTATCTCTGTACATTAAGGGTTTTTTTTTTTTTTTTTTTTTTTTTTGGTATTTTTGAGACAGGGTCTCCCTATATTCCCCAGCTGGCCTGGAACTTGCTATATAGACCAGGCTGGCCTTATGGAGATCCACCTGCACCTGCCTCCGGAGTGCTGGGATTAAAGGCACCCACCACCACGCCCAGCTCCAGCATAGTTTTTCCATAAACTACAAATAGATAAATACTGTATACACAGGGCTAGAGAGATGGCTCAGCAGTTAAGCGCACTGACTGCTCTTGCAGAGGATAGAGATTCAATTCCTAGCACCCACATGGCAGCTAACTCCAATTCGTTACCAACGGTTGTCAGCTGTCATGTGGGTGCTGGGAATCGAAACCTCTGCGAGAGCAGCAAGTGCTCTGAACCGCTGAGCCGTCTTTCCAGCCCCAACATTTATTTACTCATCTATTTTGATTTTTACGTATGACCTCCTTGGGCATTGCACAACACAGGTACACTTACATACATGCAGGTAATATATTCAAACATATAAAATAAAAACAAAATTTTTAAAAAATGTGATATACACAGAACTTTACAACTGGATCATGACTCTAGGAATGTGCATGACTCTTTGATACCAGCTTAAAGATAAAGTAAGTTTATTCTACAATAACTAGTATGAAATACTTTATGTCCCAATATATAGGCTCCTTTGTGTCCTAATATATAGGCAAACTGTGGGGCTCTTACCAGGCTTCATACCAGCCAGGACCAAGCTTCTTTTTATTAAGTCCGACAATAAACTACATTCTGTGCAATTCAAGATCTGTCTGCTTCTCTTTCAGTCTTATGATACACTGGAGACAGCCCTCATACATCAAGACTGGACTGTTCCAGAACACTTAACTTTAGATAATTGAGTCACAAATCTACACTGACTGCTACGGTATGAATGCTAGGTGTTCCTTCCAAATCCCATATTGAAACTGAACACCCAAGGTGATGTATTTGAAGGTAGACTGTTGCGAGCTGATGAGGTGATCAGAGAAGAGCCTTCATGAATAGAATGAGTGCTCTTATAAACAGGTGGGAGGGTTAGCTTAGCAGTTAATAGCATTGGCTGTTTTTGTATAGGACCTAGGTTCTGTTCCCAGCCTCTACATGCTGGCTAACTGTCCTTAACACCAGTTCCTGGCGATCCAACGCCCTTCTTCTGACCTCCATGGGTATTGCACATGGGCGCATTCATATACACGCAGGCAAAACTAAAAATTTAAAAACCTCACAAAACCCCCCAAAACCAATCAACAAATACCCTACATCATTGCTCTCATTGATTGGATACTCACATCCTGATTATATTCCAAGAAGACATGGAAATTTAAATCTTTTCTCAAAATAGGATGTGCTGCAACACGACACAGGAACACTTCATGCATGGCAACTGTCTTCTTGAATATCGCCAGATACTCACTAGAAACAACATACAAAATCAAGAGTAACAAATGTATCAACTAGGAAGTCACTTGCAACATTGTTTTTCAACAAAAACACATTGAAGTACTCTAAGTGCAAAATTCGGAATCTAAAGTTGTCATGTGTGTAAAAAAAATTCTTAGTTGAACTGTTTAGTAAATACATAAAATTCATTTCTGAAAAAGCCTTCATGCTAGTTTAGTCTTTATTGTATTTAAAAGTTAATATCTAAGCCAGGCATGGTGGCGCACGCCTGTAGTCCCAGCACTTGGGAGGCAGAGACAGGCGGATCTCTGTGAGTTCCAGGACAGCCGGGGGCTACAGGAAGACCCTGTCTCAAAATGACCAAAAAAAAAAAAAAGTTACTATCTAAAACTTTACAAACTATTCTTACTCTGCAAGTGGGTGTTAAGTGTCAGTATTCAAGTATTTGTTTGTAGTGCTAGAGAAATTATTTGATGCAACCTTAATTATTCAATTTCTATATAATTACAGCTTTTAAACAATCGTGTAGAAAAAAGTACCCAAACCTCAGTAGTTACTGAAGTTAATTATTTTCATATAATGACCCAAATATTCGAGAAAGACCCACCATAGAGATACTGTTCATGGCATTATATTAAAAAAATGTGTTTAAGGTATTCTAGATCATCAATGAATGCCAGCAACCACATGTCAGTTTGAAGGTAGAAAAGCCACTCAAGGAAAAGGGCTGATATTCTTGCTTCAACTACATGCAAGAAGGACAAATTTTTCATACCAGCAGACCAGCAGACTCAGTGTTGGGAAGAGTTTGGTCTCCATGAGGGTAGTCATTCAGTGAAGACAAAAAAGAAGGAGGCAGAGGATGGAGGTAGCAGAAGAATAAACCCAAGGTTCTGTTATCCAACCCCTAACCGGACTACAGAAGAACCACGATCAGGGCCACTGGAAAACCAGAGACTCTTCTGAACTAAAGTCTCTGCTCCATTTCCAGCCTTCAGTCTTACAAATGTTAAGGATATACCGCTATCAGACCACTGTCTGCACCCAGCACTGCAGAATTCTTACAATAGTTGTCATGTTACACTTTGACAAAGACCTACTTTGCTTAATAATCTTATTTTGAGACAGGGTCTTACTATGTAGCCCTGACTGGCCTGGAACTCACTATGTAGACTAGGTTAGCTTCAAACTCACAGAGATCTGCTAGTCTAAAGGTGCGCCATCACACTCAGTTCGTCTATTTTTCACCAAAAGAATGTATTTAGAATTCAGAAGGCATCTAGCAGCAGTGTGAAGATTTGCTTGAAAGCAAACTAAGCAGAAAAGGAAAGGAAATGCATGAAAGGGAAAAATGGCCAGAAAAAGAGAAATGGGGTTGACAGTAATACAGGAAAAATCATTCCCTGTACAACTCTCAAAATACTGGTAAGGCCCTTGAGTACTCTCTCCCTCACACGGCCCACTGGCAGTTTTTTCTTTTTTTACTGTGCTTGTCTGCCATAGCATGCATGTGATGGTCAGAGGACAGCTGTGGAGTCAGTTCTCTCCTTCCATGTTTAGGTGGGTTCCAGGGTTTGAATCCAAGCAGGCTTGGAAAGTGCTTTACTACTGAGCCATCTCACCACCTCTACCCTGACTATCACTCGACAGTGTAACTCTGATCTATATTTTTCCCTTTGCTTAGGAATAAAGTTTCCTTGATAAAAAAAAAAGATAATATATTGAATATACAAAGTTTGAAAGTTTAATTTAAAATGGGGAGGAAACTATTTTCAGCAAATATTACAATTCCATAATTTTTCAAGGATTTAATATGTTCTGAGTGTATATGAAACTAGTAGTAATTCATTAATTTTTGTGTATGTGTGAGTGCCTGAGGGTGCCAATGGAGGCCAGAAGAAGGTGTCAGATCCCCTAGCTATCTACTGTGGGTCTAGGTACCAAATCTCTGGTCCTTTATAAGAGCAGCAAGTGCTCTTAACTTTTGAGCCATCTCTTCCATGAATAGTCATTTAATAATAAAAAATGTAACTATTCTTATTAGTTTGCCCCTATTCTTTTCCTTTAAGTCAGAGTAAAGGAAATTATATATCCAAGTACTTTTATATTTTATTTTTGAAAGAGGGTCTCATGTAGCCCAGGCTGGACTTGAGTTGCTGATCTTCCTGCCTATACCTCCCAAGTGCTGGGATTACAGGTATGTGCCACCATGCCAGGCTTTTTTTTTTTTTTAATTATTTTGTTTTAAAGAAAACATGCAAAACGTTGCTCAGCACACTCTCCCTACACAAACTGGAAGTTTTAGAGGAGGTACATATTGGGAAAGAGAACTAGGTTGGTAATAACTGAGGCCTTAACCTGGACCTTTCAGAGTTAGTATGGTGAAATGGCTAAAAGAATGGGAGACCAGAGAGCACATAAAAAGCCATTAAAACAAGCACAATTAACAAAAGCAAAACAAAAACCATCACATACGCTTCCAGCTCCTGTTTCATCTTTGTGAATTCCTCCTTTGTCATTGACCCTTCCCCTTCTCCAAGCTTCTGTAGTTTTTCCCGTGAAGCGTCAAAATCAGGTCTTGGTGGTGCTGGCGGGATCTATAACAAAACCAAGTCACTTTTTTTGGGGAGGATCTTTTTGAAGCAGGGTCTCCCTGTAGCCCCAGCTTTCCTGGAACTCACTATGTAGACCAGGCTGGCCTTGAACTCACAGAGATCCGCCTGCCTCTGCCTCCCAGTGCTGGAATTAAAGGCGTGCACCACCATGCCTGGCTCCAAGTCACTAATTTTAAGGGACTATTCCATAATTTATTTTTTTTTACATTGTGTGTATGTGTGTGTGTGTGTGTGTATGTGTGTGTGGACAACTTGTGTGTGTGGACAACTTGTGTGTGACAGTAGGTTCTCTCCTTCCACCAATGTGGGACCAGGGGACAAATGCTACCCCTCAGGTTTGGTGGCAATGCCTTTACCCCATGAGCCGTCTCACCAACCTTCTCATCTCTTTTAGCATTGTACCATAGTCACCTTAAAAAGCTGGGTCTGGAGCCGGGCGTGGTGGTGCACACCTTTAATCCCAGCACTCGGGAGGCAGAGGCAGGTGGATCTCTGTGAGTTCAAGGCCAGCCTGGTCTACATAGTGAGTTCCAGGACAGCTGGGGACAGCTGGGGCTACAGGGAGACCCTGTCTCAAAAAGACAAAAAAGAAAGGGAGGGAAGGAGGGAGGGAAAAGTCAGATGCAGAAGCACGTTCCTGCAATCCCACTGGCATGCCCCTCCCCACATACATACTTACACACAAAATAAAAAAATATTAACACTTAACATTTTTTAAAAAAATAGTTTTCAAGCTGGTCATGGTGGCACATACATATAAGCCCAGTTTGGGAGGCCAAGGAAGGAAGACAGCAAGTTCAAGGCCAGCCTGGACAACTTAGTAAGGAGCCTGTCTCAAAGTAAAATAAAAAAAGGGTTAGTAAGATGATTCAAGGGGTAAAGGCCCTTGCTTCTGTGCCTGATGCACTGATCTCAGGGACCCACATGAAAGGACTCCCAAAAGCTGTTTTTTGACCTTTATACATGCACCCTCCGACACACTAAATACATAAATGTGAGAAAAAAACCACTACGCTGGGGTGTAATGAGCACTAGTAGAGGGCTTGTCTAGCATACAGGACCAACACAGGATGGGTCTGATCCCCATAACTGCAAAAATAAGTTAAAATTGTTTCTAGAGCCAGTGAGATGCCTCAGTTACCCAGCAAGATGGCTCAGTGGGTAACAATAGTTGCCACCAAGCCTGACCACTGACTGCAAGCCACATGGAGGAAGGAGAGAACTGGTTCCTGCAAGTTGTTTTCCAAAATTAAAAAGGGTCCTAGCCAAGCCCAGTAGTGTACACCTTTAATCCTTGCACTTAGGAGGCAGAGGTAGGTGATCTCTGTGAGTTCAAGGACTAGTCTATATAGTAAATTCCAGGTCAGTCAGGGCTACACAGTAAGAACCTGTCTCAAAACAAATTATCAAAAGTAGGGATCTCAGATTGGAGGAATGTATCGGAAACAGAAATATTTTATTTAAAAATCAGGTAATGGGGCCGGGCATGGTGGCACATGCCTTTAATCCCAGCACTCAGGAAGCAGAGGCAGGTGGATCTCTGTGAGTTCGAGGCCAGCCTGGTCTTCATAGCGAATCCAGGCCAGCTGGGGCTACAGGGAGACCCTGTCTCAAATAAATAAAAATCAGGTAATAGCTGGGTATGGTGGTGCATTCCTTTAGTCCCAGCACCTGGGAGTCAGAGGCAGGGGCAGGCATATTTCTGTGAGATCAAGAGGCCAGCCTGGTCTACATAGCAAGTTTCAAGTCAGCAGCTGGGGCTTTTTTTTTTTAAAAAAAAAAAAAAAAAAAAAAAAAAAAAAAAAAAAAAAATGGTGGGAGGTTTTGGAGAAATGGCTCAGTGGCAGTTAGAAGCACTGGCTACTCTTGTAGAGGACTGAGGTTCAGTTCCTACATGGCATCTAATAATGGTCCATAACTACAGTTCCAGGGAACTCAACGCCCTCTTCTGGCCACTGGGGGCACTGCACACTCAGATGTACCTCTATAGCCAGCTAGAGCTACAAGGAGACCCTGTCTCAAAAAGACTGCCCCTCTCCCAAATTTTTAAAAATCATTAAAAGACAGGGATGCAGACAGGAGATCATATATTTGTTGTTGTTGTTTGTTTGTTTGTTTGTTTTTGTTTGTTTGGGGGGTTTTTTTGGTCTTTTTTGAGATAGGGTCTCCCTGTAGCCCCAGCTGTCCTGGAACTCACTATGTAGACCAGGCAGGACTTGAACTCACAGAGATCCGCCTGCTTCTGCCTCCTGAGTGCTGGGATTAAAGGTGTGCGCCACGATGCCCAGCCAAAATATATTTTATGAAATTCACAAAAATTCAATTTAAAAAAAAGACAAAAATAAATAAAGCAGAAAACAAGCTGGCATGGTAGCACATCTTCAATCCCACAATTCAGATCCCTATGAGCTTGACACTAGCTGGTCTAAATAGAGTTTTTAAGCCTGTCAGGGCTACATAATGAAATTTTTGTCAAATAAACAAATAAAGCCAGGTATGGTGGCACATGCCTTTAATCCCAGCACTTGGGAGGCAGAGGCAGGCGGATCTCTGTGAGTTCAAGGCCAGCCTGGTCTACATAGTGAGATCCAGGACAGCTGGGGCTACAGGGAGACCCTGTCTCAAAAAGACCAAAAAAAAAAAAAAAAACCCAAATAAAAATAAACCAGTTAACAAGCTGTGGTGGTACACACCTGTAATTCCAGCACTCAGGATGTAGAGACAAAATGACCAGGAGTTCCAGGTCAGTCTACACTATATGAGACCCTGTCTCAAACAACAAACAAAAAATCAAAACCAGGTTAAAGCCCAGTTGTAGCACACACCTGAAATTTCAGCACTTGAGGGGTAGAGGCAGGAAGGTCAAGAGTTTGAGGTCAGTATCCTCTTACACAGCCAAGTTCAAGGCCAGCCTTGACGACAAGAGATCTTGTCTCAAAATTCCAAATATAAAGACAAATAATAGTGAAAAAAAAAAACCTGCAACAAGAGAAGGATCACACCAAGGAAAGCAACAGTGCCAGAGGCATCACAGACAATTCCGTACATACCACTGAGCACCTACTGTACCACTACAGCATCTTTACAGACAATCAAGACAGTCTACAGAGAAAATAGTAAAAAACCCCCATCACACAAGAAGGTAGAGGGAAAAGGCAGAACTAGAATGGAAAAAAGAGACTGTACCACTGATCTTTCACCAAACTCTGAGCTACAGAAAGGAAAAAATGACTGAGAGGGAATGCTGGCCATCGGGCAGAGACAGAACCAGGTCACGATGACCCCAGGGAAGTCACAATTCAATTCACAAATCTGAATGTGGTCAACAGGTGGGGAAGAACTACCTACTCAATTACAAAATCTTAAGAAGCCTTCCAACCTCTAAGTATCTTTTCACTTATGGGTTTTTAGACCACACAGTTTGAGACACTCTCTCAGCCTCCAGGTCAAGCCCACTGCTATACTAATAGTAAGAATGTAAGTTTGCTGGGTGTGGTGGCTCATGCTTATAACCCTAGCACTTGAGAGGCAAAACAAGAAAACTGCTGCAGTGAGCTCAGGTCAGGAAAGGGCCAAGCTACATAGCAAGACCCAATCTTAAAAAAAAACAAACAAAAAACAATTCAAGTTAGACTGAGAAAGTACAACAGTCTCAAAACTCAGGGCAAAAGGTGGTAGGCCAATGCCTTTTAACTGCCATGTTTTACAATCACATCAATTACTAAAAATGTCAAACAAAACTGCATGAGTATCTAAAATGCTTTCAGAAAATAAGGAGGCTAAAGAGATGGCTCAGCAGTTAAAAGCACCGACTGCTTTTGCAGAGGACGCAGGTTCAATTCCCAGCACCCACGTGGATGCTAATGACCCTATGCACTGCACACCTCAGGTGTACTTACATGCAAGCAATAAACTCATACACAGAAAATAAAAAATAATAAATAAAATAGGGGCTGGAGAGATAGTTAAGAGCACTCACTGCTTTTGTAGAGGACCTGGGTTCGATTCCCAGCACCCACATGGCGCCTACGAACCATCCTTAACTCCAGTTCCAGGGGAATCCAAAGCCCTCTTCTGACCTCTGTGGCACTGCACAACATGGGTGTACTCACATACACGCAGGCAATACACTCATACACATAATAAAATAAAATATTTTTTAAAATAATAAATAAAATCTAAAAAAAGAAAAAACCTTGGGCTGAAGAGGTGGCTCAGTGGTTAAGACATGTACTATCCTTGCAAAGGACCCAAGTTCAGTTCCCTGCTCTGTGGGATAGCTTACATCTATGTAACTCAAGTTCCAACAGGATGTGATGCTTCTGCCCTCTGCAGGCACACACACACATCTACCCCACCCCTCATAATTTAAAGTAAAATAAGGGCTGGAGAGATGACTCAGTCCTTAGGAGCACTTACTGTTCCTCCAGAAGACCTGAGTTTGGTTCCCACCACCCCAGACTGGGCGGCTCACAACCACTTATAATAACTCCACCCATGTTCAGGGGATCCAATGCTTTCTTCTGACCTCTGTGGGCACCTAGAAACATGTGGCATATACTAACATAGAAAAATACATTAAAAAAATTTTTTTAATGTATTAAAGAAAAATACATTAAAAAAAAATACATTAAAAAAATCTCTCCAGTTGGAGAGATGGATCAGTGGTTAAGAGCACAGGACCCAGGTTCAATTCCTAGCATCCATAGTCATTGCATGATACAACACAGGTCCACTTATATCCATGCAGGCAATACACTCATATACATAAATAAAACAAAATATTTTTAAAAGAAAAATACATACAAATAAAACAAATCTATACTTAAAAAAAGAAAATGAAACCTCAATACTTACAATGTAACCTGCATAGTCTTCATTTTCAACGAAGGAATCATGAAGCCAGATAAATTCCTCATGTTGTCGAACAACAGAAAATTCATTTTGTTTAAAATTTGGCAATGAACTCTGGAAAGATAGCAATTCTCTTGAATAAAAGTAAAAATTACAGGAAGAAACAATAAACATTTCACGACTTCAGATTTTTTTTTTTGCTAACACCACTTAAGTTATCCTACTAAATATAGGCCAAGCTCAACTATTCTAAGACAAAGAGATCTGCAATCTGAAAATGTACCCGAGAGCCAAAATACAATCATTGTAAGACGGTAATTTGACTAGCTAGAGGAACACACACACCATAAAAGAAAATAACGACTACATTATATGTAAAAGTCAGGCATGGTGGCTTATGCCTGTCATCCTAGTACTTGGGAAATGGAGATAGGAAGACCAGTAGTTCAAGGCCATCCTTGGTAACATACCTGGTGGCTCAGGCCTATACTCTGAGCTACTTTGAAGACTAAAGAAGGAAGATTATAAGTTCAAAGCCACCTGGGGCATAGAGCTGAGTTCAAAGCCCATCTGGGCAGCACAGGGAAATCTAGTCTCAATTAAGTTTTAAAAGTGGGGAGACAGTGGGAGGGGGGAAAAGAGTGGGCATGGAGGGTGTCAAGATGTAGATCAGTGGTACAGTGAAGACCTACCCCCCAAAGCCATAGGTTTACTGTCTAGTACAAAAAATAATACACCCACCCTCATATAAACCTAGAAATTAAATTTACATTAACTATGTCTAGGCGCTGTAATTCCTAAGATCTAATCTTAAAAAAGTAACTTCCCTAGTGGCTGGAGATGGTTCAGTGGTTAAGAGCACTGACTGCTCTTGCAGAGGACCCAGGTTTGATTCCCAGCATCCACATGGTTGCTAACAACAGTCTGTAACTCCAGTTCAGGGAATCTGATGCTCTCTGAACTCTCTTCTCATGCAGGCAATACACTCATACACATAAAATTTATACATAATTAAAAAAAAAAAAAACTAACTTCCCTAAACCAGTTTCTTAAAATAACAGTGAATTACAAACTGTGCTTCTTTCCAATTGCATTTAAAATTCAAGCTCCACGGATCTGGAGAGATGGCCCAGCGGTTAAGAGCATTGGCTATTCTTACTGAGGACCTGGGTTTAGTTCCCAGCACCCACATGGAGGCTCATGACCGTCCGTAACTACAATTCCAGGGGATCTGACAATCTTTTCTTGTCTTTGGGCACTGCACACATGTAAGTGCATATACATACATGCAGGCAAAACATTCACACACATAAAAATAAATCTTTTTTTTTTTTCGGTCTTTTTGAGACAGGATCTCCCTGTAGCCCCAGCTGTCCAGGAACTCACTATGTAGACCAGACTGGCCTTAAACTCACAGAGATCTGCCTGTCTCTGCCTCCCGAGTGCTGGGATTAAAGGTGTGCACCACCACACCCAGCAAAAATAAATCTTTTACACACATACAAATAAACCTTTTAAAAACGCACAAGTTCCAATCAACACATTACATATGTAACATTAGCATGTCTAAAGTAACACAAAATACAAAGCCCCATTTACCTTTGTGTGAACTGTAAATTTGACTTTATCCCTTTCACTGAGGGCATCAGAAATGTCCACTTGCAGAGCAGCATCACTTTGAAGATCGACATTTATTGCTTTAAGCTAGAAAAAGAAAGTAATACCTTAAAGAAAATTCCCTTTTAAAAGACATCTCAAGAGTCGGGTTTGGTAGCACATGCCTTTAATCCCAACACTCCAGAGGCAGATGCAGGCAGATCTCTGTGAGTTCAAGGCCAGCCTGGTCCACATAGTAAGTTCCAGGACAGCCGGGGCTACAGAGAGACCCTGTCTTAAAAAGACCAAAAAAAAAAAAGACATCTCACTGTGCAAACCAGGCTGGCCTCAAACTTGTGATCCACCTGCCTCTCTCTGCCTTTGGAATAAGAGCTGGAATTAAGCCAGGCTCTGTGTGCTTTTATGTAACTTCATTCTTCTCCCAGACAATAAGACAATGCAAAACCAAAACAAAGGGAGCAGGGGGTGGCCCTCTCCAGGGATCCTAACACTCTGGAGGCTGATGAAGAACTGAGTTTAAGGCCAGGTTGACCTTGTCTCAACTCCTCCTCCTCCATCACCACCACCAAGAAAAAAAAGAGAAAAGAAAAACGTAGGGAATCTCTTTCCTTTTTTGTTTCTTTAACTATACTAAGGCTACTTTTAAGGTATTTGTTGTGGTAATGGCTCCCCAAAGAGATCTATATCCACATCCCTGCAATCCATGAACAGACCTTATATGGCAAAAAGTACCTTTGCAGATATTAGTCAATTGAGGATTTTGAGGTATTCTGGTGGGCCTTAAATAAAAATCACATGTATCTTTATAAAAGGAGGCAAAGGAAGAATTGAAACAGATACCAGTGCAACTGAGAAGAGAATGACCAGAGGACTCAGAGTAATACAGCCACCAATCAAAGACTGCTGGCAGCTACTTCCACACTGAAAGAGCACTCAGGAAGAGACCCTGGAAGATCACTCTGCAGGGAAGACACTGGATTCCAGCTCACTGGTGCTAATTTCTAACTTCTGACTTCCAGAATTATGAGACTACGCTGCTGTTGTTTTAAACCACCAAGTTTGTGGGAATTTGCTACAATATCTGCAGCAAACTAGTGCATTTACCATACAGCCTTCGTAATAGTAACTTTGCACTTCTCTATTCTGTTCTTGGTGTTTTGTTTTTTGAGATCTCACTATGTAGCATTGGCTGGTCACAAACTCATAGAGATCTGCCTGCATGTGACTCGGGCCCCTATTTTGTCCTTTTCTTTTTTTCTTTTTTTTCTTTTGTGTGTGTGTGTATGCATGTGTGTGATCAAACTCAGAGTCTTGTACGTAGTAGGCAAGTGCTGCACCACAGAGCTACATCCTCGGCCCACATTTCTCACAGTGAAAAAAAAAACAACCAAAACCCAAGCCAAAAAACAACAAAACAATTATCAGACTGATGAAGCAGCCTACAAAAACGGGAGTCAGTTGAGTGGAGACTGATATCCAGAATACGTAAAGAACTCAAAAATTCAATACACACAAAAAAAAACCCCAAAAAACAAGATCAATAAATGGGCAAACATTTGTTATGTTTTCATTGCCTACATTAGTATTTCCCAAACACAACTGATACTACAGGGTACCAGGTGTGGTGTGGCTCCAGGCCAGCCTGAGCTACAAGGAGAGAACCAGTATCAAAAAACAACTGCGAGGAGTAGGAGCATACACCTTTAATCGTAGCACTTGGGAGGCAGAGGCAGGCAGACCTCAGTTCTAGGTCAGAGTTTCATAGTGAGACCCTGTTCCCCTTCCCCCGCCCAAAAAAGCTTTACAATTCATTGAGTTTTAACAAGCATACAGGTTGCATGCCAAATTGAGATATGGCACATTTCTATCATTTCTAGAAAATTCCTTTACATCCCTTTAACAAATTCCCTCCCATCCTTATGCCTTTAGTTTTTTTTTTTGGTCTGTGTATGGTATATGCATGCTGGGGGGAGGGGTGTACATGCCTGTACATATATAGGGCAAAAGTCAATATCAAATGTCTTCCACCGTAATTTTTTTCTTGGTCTTTTTGAGACAGGGTCTCCCTGTAGCCCCAGCTGACCAGGAACTCACTGCGTAGATCAGGCTGGCCTTGAACTCAGAGATCCACCTGCCTCTGGCTCCTGAGTGCTAGAATTAAACCATGCCCAGATGTCTTTTTTATTCTTTTAAAAACTGAGTTTACTACAGAGTGAGGCCGTCTCAAAACAAAACAAGAACTGAGGTCTAGAGCCGACTGAAGTCCATGTGAATCACCAGAAGTGGAAGGGCTCAGTTCTGCTCCATGCAGTCCGACAGCTGAGGCCCTCACAGCTTTCATCTAAATGTCACAATTAACATAAAACATCAGGCAGAGTGTTCACTCTGATACTTCCCATAGTCATTTCCCACATTAAATTTACACAATAGGTATTTCCCAGTTCCTGAACTTACAGAAAAGTAGACACACAGGACAATTTTGTCTGACAAGAAGTTGCACTTCATATACTGAGCAGTCTTTTTCCACGTCCAAGTTTCTAATCACCAAGCTGTATAATGGAAGTCAGTCTCTAAAATGAAATGGCACTGCTTCCTAAGCACATCAGGTGGTATGCGTAGAAAGAGGCCGTCACTCCCATATCAGCACAAACCTCACTGACAGCTAATGTGCTATATATTGCTTCAACACGTATCTTTAGATTTAAACATACCTGAAATAGATGTATCATGACAAATTTTATTTTTTAATTTTTATGTGTATGAGTGTACTGCCTGCATGTAAGTGCACTTGTGTTGTGCAATGCCTGAGGAGGTCAGAAGAGGGCGCTGGATTCCCCTGGAACTGGAGTCAAGAATGGTTGTTAGCCACCATGTGAGTGCTGGGAACAGAACCAGATCCTCTGCAAAAGCAGCCAGTGCTCTTAACCACTGAGCCATCTCTCCAACCCCATCGACAAATTATTATTTTAACTGATAACATTTTTTTCTTTTTTAATTATTACACAGGAAAAAAAAAACTTCAATCACATTCACTTTAGATTTCATAAAGCATTATATTGTAAATGTAATGTCAATTACACGAAACAAATTTCTTGGGCAGACTTCTATGTCTAGGGAAAAAAAAATCAGTAACTTTAGATTTTATTACGGGAAAGACAATGCAGCTTGTGAGTCACAAACATTTAATTAAATTTCTGAAAGTAGTGAATTCAATTCAGAAAATTTCTAATTATATAACATTTAACTGGTTTAATCTTTATTTGGGCCAATAAACTTTGCACTTTCTTTAGAGGTTAAACATTTGCTTGCTTGTTCTTTTTTTTTTTTTTTTTTGGCCTTTTTGAAGCAGGGTCTCCCTGTAGCCCCAGCTGTCCTGGAATTTACTATGTAGACCAGGCTGGCCTTGAACTCATAGAGATCCGCCTGTCTCTGCCTTCCAAGTGCTGGGACTACAGGTGTGCACCACCATGCCCGGCCTAGGTTAAACATTTCTATCATTAGTCAAAAGAAAGAGCAGGATACAAAATGTGGATTAAGCAACAAAAATATGGTATCATTCAAAAGTAAATTAAAGATTCTAAGCCAGGTGTGGTAATACACACATGTAGTCTAGCACTTGGGAGACAAGAGCCCAAAGGATCAGAGGTTCAAGGCATCCTCAGTTACACAGACATCTGAGGCCAGCCTGGTTATATGATCCTGCCTTAAAATGGGGGAAAAACAACAACAACAACAAAAAAACACCTGCTCAATTGCTGGTTATTTCTCCACATATAATAGCTTTGACAAAAAGACATGGTCCATGGGCCAGCCGTGGTGGTGCATGCCTTTAATCCCAGCAGAGGCAGGTGGATCTGTGAGCTCTTGAGTTCAGGGCCAGCCTGGTCTACATAGTAAGTTCCAGGCCAGCTGGGGCTATGGGGGGGGGGCCCTGTCTCAAAAAGACCAAAAAACCCCAAACAAAGAAAAATAACAAAAGACATGGTCCAGAGAGTTGGCTCAGTAGGTAGAGGTGCTTATTGTAAAGTAAGGTGACCTGAATTCAATCCCAGGGACCCCAGGTTGAAAGAAGAATCATCAACTTTCAAGTTGTTCTCTGACCTCCACAAACACTGTGGCACATGCACCTACACTTACCTACCTACCTACCTACACACACACACACACACACACACACACACACACACACACACACACACACACGAATACACACAAATGTAATTTGAAAAAAAGGACAGTCCCTATCATTTACTAGTAATAACTACATAACAGTACATTATAATTTACCAATAAAGTATATAGTTTAGAACATTCCCTTTTCGTGTGTGTGTGTGTGTGTGTATATATACATTCACATGCCATTGGGCATGTGTGGAGGTCCAAAGCTGAACAACCTGTGTGTTTATTCTCTCCTTCCACCATGTGGTTCTCAGGGATTAACCTCAGGCCATCAAGTCTGGCAGCGGGTGCCTTTGCCCACTGAGCAATCTCTCTAGTCCCAGAACATTCTTTTTTTTCCCCTTTGGTTTTTTTGAGACAGGGTCTCCCTGTAGCCCCAGCTGGCCTGGAACTCACTATGTAGACCAGGCTGGCCCTGAACTCAAGAGCTCTGCCTGCCCCCCCAGTGCTGGGACCAAAGGTGTACGCCACTGCACCCAGCCCCTAGAACATTCTTTAGAAATCAGTTTATTTTGCTGGTAAAGCAAATGTATGGAGATGGATAGAGAAAAAAAGGAAGAAGGGAAAAATAGCCCATTATTGTAACCTCCCACTGGCTCTTGCTTCTGCTTTGCCCTTCTGCAATCTGTTCCCTACAGAACCACCACTACAATCTCATTCACTAGAAATTATTCCTGTGCTCAAAATGAGGGGTTCCCACTTGGGGAAAAGTCGAAGTCCTTCCAGTGGTCCTCCAGATATAAGATCTCCATCTGACATCATATCTAATCCACTGTGCTCCTGGCCCACTGCAGTGCTGCCACCTATCTCCCTGGGTTCCTTGAACACACAGCCATGCCACTTTGGGAGTCTTTGCACTCACTGCTTCCCCAGGCCACAACCACCTTTTTCTTCCCCCAATGGAACCT